TTGCAGTGATTAGTTCTCTAATGCTGTCCCTGTTTCCATAGAGACCCTATAAATAGAGGGAACGTTGGCGACCTAGGCTTGCAAAGGCTCAGGGTGACCCGGTCACCCTCCTGAACCCTTGTAGTCACACCTTTGCTGGGGAGAGGGACTTTGAGAGCCAGGAGAGGAAGGGCCAGGTGGTCAGCTGCCATGTGGGACCATTAGCTCCAAGTCACTGTTTTTTTTTTCTAAGGCTCTTTGGGTTTTCCTGGGATTTAATGGGAACACAAGTGCCTGTAGGAACTGGAAACCGCTTTTGGCCATCCTTAACCAGATGATGCCTAAGGCGCTACCCTGAAGTGGTTTCCTCTTGGCTTCACAAAGCTGTGTTTGCAGAATCTAGAACATATTTCTCCTGCACTCCCCCTTTTTTGTTCCAGTCCTAGAGATTGAACTCAGGATCTGGGCACTGTCCCTGAGCTTTATTGTTCAAGGCTTACACTCTACCATTTGAGCCACAGCTCTACTTCTGGTTTTTGTTTCTGTTTTTTGTCTTTGGTGGCTAATTGGAAATAAGAGTCTCATAGACTGTCCTGCCTAGACTGGCTTTGAGCCATAATCCTCAGATCTCAGCCTCCTAATTGTAGCTGGGATTGCAGATGTAAGCACACTTCCTCTTTTTAGAGACCCACACCCAGAGAGGAATATGGCCAGAGCCTGACAGCTCAGAAACCACAGCCTTCACAGGAAGGAAGCTTAGAAACTCTGGATCTAGTCCACCCTTCTTCCTGAGAGGGCACTGCCACCCGTGGGGCCCTCCAAGACAGCTCAGCACCATTCCTAACTGCCCTTTCCAGGTTTCATGATGTGAAGAGCTAAGTTTCCGTCTCACCTCTAACTCTGCAAGCTCCCCATTCTCTTCCTAATCTATGGCTTCATTTGGCCACCAAAAATGGTTTTAGGCAGCTGGAGAAAAGCAAAAGTCAGTGTGGAAAAGCAAGTGACATTTAGTAGCTGGAACCTGTTAGTCAGAGCAGGTGGCACTTGGTTGCGTTGGCGGCTGAGTTCCCTCGAGCTAGTCACCATGGTTTTCCTCACTTCTGAAACTTGTGGCAGCTTATATGTATGCGCTGAGTTTTGTTGTTTTTTTTTTAAACACTTACCCATGTTATGTCAAAACTCCTTCCATCTCCTCCCTGACTCCCACGTGCCGTGCAGCCTGTGTGTCGCTCTACCCTTCATACTCACACCTTGTATGTCAGGGACCCCACCACCACCGTCCTTTGACATCTTTTTTGTTTTTTTCCCTCAGGCCTATTATGGACTTTAATGGAGTCCTCAGTGCCCTGTGGTCACCTGACTACCATCTCTGGCTTTATTAATTTTTTTTTAACTTGCTATACAGGAAGGGAGATGGGAAATGAAGACCTTGTGATCAAGGGTCTTACCCAAGTCCTATGCTATGGCCTTCAATGATCCACAGCTCTCCTTGGTGATTTTTTCCATGCCCTTGATACTGTTCTGTGACACATGCAAATAGCATATCTACTTCAGTTTTGAAATCATTGTGTGGGCCAGTGAAAGTAATGTGACTACAAGTTGAAGAGATCATCTCTGTGGCTTCACAAGCCACTTAGCTGTGCTGGGCCTCAGTCTCTTCATCTGTAAAATGGGAGACACAGATGCTACAGAACTTCACAATCCTTACTACAGAAATGAGACTAGTATCAGGAATGACAGGATAAATTGGAAAGCATGTTGTATAATTTTAAAAATAAATTGATCAGGGGGCTGGGAAGGTGGCTCAGTGGTAGAGCGCTTGCCTTTCAAGCCTGAGGCCCTGGGTTCGATTCCTCAGCACCACATAAGCAAAAAGAAAAAAGCTGGAAGTGGTTCTGTGGCTCAAGTGGTAGAGCGCTAGCCTTGAGCTGAAGAGCTGAGGGACAGCGCCCAGGCCCAGAGTTCAGGCCCCACGACCGGACCAAAAATAAATAAATAAATTGATCAGATGGCCTCTCCATCTCATGCCTTTAATCCTAGCTACTCAGAAAGTTGAGAGTTGAGGACTGCAGTTTAAAGCCAGCCTGAGCAAACTAATCCTAGAGACTCCTATCTCTAATTAGCCAGCAATAACCCAAGTGGAGGTGCGGCTCAAATGTAGAGTACCAACCTTGAGAAAACAAGAAAAAAAAGCTAAGGGAGAGTGCAAGGTCTTGAGTTCAAGCCCCAGTACAGGAATACACAAATATGATTAGGACTCAAGACATTGTGGCTGGTAACCCTCCCCAGAACCTGTACTGATTCCCAGGGCTGAGGAACAGCAAATGTCTCTGAGCCTTAGGACCTCTGCTGAAGGCTCTAAGGGGCATACTGTCCCTGAGTGGGTACAGAAGAAGGGGCATTGGTGTTGAAGAAGCCAGTTAGAAATGGGGAGAGGAGGAAGAAACTTGGAATAGGATGCTAGAAAGATAATTTGCAGTATGTAATGTGACCATTTGGCATAGACAGCTAGGCAAAGGCCAGAGCCAGCTGGCTCCATCTGGGATGCCTGGAGGGAGGTCTTGCATCAGCTTGGGCCTGAGGAAGAGGGCAGTGTGTGGCTTAGTCTTAGTCTGGAGGCCATCGGATGTGGTCCATTCCAAACTCATGGCTGAGAGTGTACACTATCCACTCTGTTTTGGGTCTTGGTTCTGCGCAGAACAGATTCAAGTGGGCCTCAAGGTGCTACCTCTGGCTGGCCTTGAAGGGCTGTGACTGTGGGAAAACCTGGCACCTGTGACCTCCAGGCCCCAGAGGTGCCCTGAACTTCAGTTCTTCAGAGGGAAGAACTTCTTCACCTGTAAGTGGAAGTGGTGCAGTTGTTACTTTTGTTTGTATCTGTGAACCTTCATGGAGAGTACACAGGAGAAATGGTCTCAAGAATTAATTACAAATCCTCAGTTCCTGGTGTGGTAGATGGGTGGGCTCACCTGGTCTGTGAAGCAGGCGAGGTCAGGGCCTGACCCCTGAGAGGACTGTGGGGAGAGGAGTGAGGAGAAACATGAGAATCCTACACTTTCACTCAAGGCTGGCCATGCAGTTGTTTACATCAGAGCATGGTGCAGCTGTTTATAGGAACTTCGCTGAGTGGAGAGCAATGTGGGCGGGGCCAGCCATTTCAGAAGATGTAGGATTGTTTGCTTCGTTTTTGCATAGTCTAACTTTTCTGTTCTAAGTTTGTTTCCAGAAAAAAAATAAATCTAGTATGTGTAATTTTTGGAATGTTTTTAAGACAACTGAAGATGGCCCGAAAGATTATAGGTTGCTTGTCACAGAGGAAAACCTGCTATGGCTCATTGAGCCCCAGATGGCTGACCTGTGTTTCCGTCTCAGACGAATGGGTGTGGGGTATCTCCTGGTCTTCGTAGTCTTCCCCCTCCTCCGTTTCTGAAGCTCTTCACAGGGCTCGTTCTGCCCAATTAGCCATCTCCTGACAGCAGCTGTGTGCAGTCACATCACAGATGCCTTGCCCTGGTGGCCTGTCCAACAGCCCATCTCTAGCAACTGCACCTTCAGAGCAGCTGGGGAATCTCAGGGCAGTGTTATGACCACAAGCCACAGCTAGGGCAGCACTGGGCTCCAGAACCTCTGCTTGGTTCCAATCTGAGGGGAAAGGCCCTCATCTAAATTGTTCTAATGTGTATGCTATAGAATTGTCCATGCTACTCCCTATATATTACAAGATAGGCTTATCAAAATTAAAGTATCTCAGGTCTGGTGATCACATGCCTGTGATCCCAGCTACTGAGAGAATAGTGATTCAAGGTCAGCCGGACACTTCCCTCCCCCACCTCCGTGTTAGTGAGACTATCTGAAAGAACATGTGTGGTAGTTCATACCTGTAATCCTAATGAACAGGAAGGGAAGATGAAAGGATCCTGGTTCAAGGCCAAAACAAAAAACAACCAAACAAAAAAGCAAACAACAAAGTGAGATTATCCAAGAACAAGTCAGGCATGGTGGTTCATACCTGTAATCCTAGCTGCTTGGGAGGTAGGAGGACTGAGGTCTGAGGCTGGCCCAGGCAAAAGCATAAAACTATCTGAAAAACAAACTAAAAGCCAAAAGGGCTAGGAATGTGACTCAAGTGGTAGAACATTTGTCTCATAAGCACAAGGTCCTTGATCAAATCTCAATCCATCCAAAAGTAAAGTTTCTCATTGCCAATTATGTGAGGAATGAAATTGGCCACAAACAGCAGAAAATCATACTAGAATCATGAAGACAAAGGAAGGTTTATTTCATGCAACCGGAATCTCAGGGTAGGCACTCATGACCTGGCTCGTGGCTCTACAGCCATCACATTCCCAGGGTCACTTGTGGTTAAAACTTGGCTGTTGTATCCCCAGACAGTACGCTAATATTGCAGAGCCTTTATCAAGAAGGCAAAAATGTTCCAAGAATACTTCACTCTGCTTTTCATAACTTTGTCTTATGGTTGTTCTTAGCTGCAAGAGAGTCTGTAGAAGTAGACATTTTTAATGAGGTACATGAAGGCCTTTGCAGTTTGATTGGAAAGGGAGAAAGGGGACTGGATATTGGGTAGGCAATTAGCAATGCCCAGTACAACAGGAGAACCTGATCGTATGACTCATGAGTCTTTCCAAGGAGTGCACAATGAGGCATCTTTGGTCCAAGTGCTGGTGCAACTTGGAGAGTCTGACTTGGAAGTGGAGAGGGTGGAGGTGGGGGTGAGAGGGACTAGTCAAAAGGTATCCTCCCTAAATCCAGGTGATACTGTGTCCCTCTAAGGCCAAGACTGCAGCTCTGCAGCATCGTTCCTAGAAACCCAGTACATGTGGGAAATGAAAGGCTGGGTCTCCATGGTCCTGGTCCCCTTAATGCTGGGGACCTATAAGGTGTGACAGGCTACTTGTTGATTCATATCCCTGCATTGGAGAGCAGAGATAACCTTCATTCCTAATTGACCAAGCAGTCAAGACCTTTCCACTCACCAAAGTTCTTCATCTCTCCTCCTCAAGAAAATCCAGCAGCTCTCAGAGGGCTCCATGTTTGGCCACGGACTGAAGCACCTGTTCCACAGCCGCCGCCGGTCTCGGGAGAGGGAGCACCAGGCGTATCCGGATTCCCAGCCTCCGCCCCAGCAGCAGGGCATGTCCGACCATGACTCCCCGGATGAGAAGGAGCGCTCCCCAGAGATGCACCGTGTCTCCTACGCCATGTCCCTGCACGACCTGCCGGCGCGGCCCACCGCCTTCAACCGCGTGCTGCAGCAGATCCGCTCCCGGCCCTCCATCAAGAGGGGTGCCAGCCTGCACAGCAGCGGAGGGGGCAGCGGCAGCGGGAGCAGCAGCCGGCGCACCAAGAGCAGCTCCCTGGAGCCCCAGCGTGGCAGCCCCCACCTGCTGCGCAAGGCCCCCCAGGAGAGCAGCCTGGCAGCCATCCTGCACCAGCACCAGTGCCGGCCCCGCTCCTCCTCCACCACCGACACCGCCCTGCTGCTGGCTGATGGTAGCAACGTGTACCTCCTGGCCGAGGAGGCCGAAGGCATCGGGGACAAGGTGAGGCTGGGCAAGGGGAGAGCCTTGCTGGGTGATGCAGAGGCAGAGCCACCCGTGGAGGGGCCTTGGGACCTGGGGACTGTGTTGAGTCCTGCCTGGTGGTACCAACACCAGTTGCCTGACATTTATCTGCCCTGGCTGAAGGAGGCAGATATATGACGGAGCCAGCATCAAGAGCTGGTTCTCCCAAGGAGCAAATTTGTGTCTGCTTCAGGGTTTGTTTTTCAAAATGATCTTTTGCTCAGGCTGATAGTACCTTTGGTTTGTTTTCCTTTAACATGTTGTGAAGCGGCAGGGAGTGTGGTAGTTAACAACACAGACTAGAAGCCAGCCTGGTTCTGCCACTCTCCAGCTAGACTAGTTAATCACATAACTGTGTTGTTCTTCAGTTTCATCCGTTGCCAATGGGGACAATGATGCCAGGCACTGGTGGCTCACGCCTGTGATCCTAGCTACTCAGGGGCTGAGATGTGAGGATCAAGTTTCAAAGCCAGTCCGGGGAGGAAAGTCTGTGAAACTCTTATCCCCAATTGATCACCAAAAAGCCAGAAGTGGAGGTGTGCCTCAAGTGGTAGCGTGCCAGTCCTAAGGGGAAAAAGAGAAGCTCAGGGGCAGTGCTCAGGCCTTGAGTTCAAGGAGAGGAGAGGGAAGGGGAGGGAAAGGGAGCGGAGGCCTTGTAGGATTAAATGATTTGATCTGTGTGAACTGCTTCAATGAGTCTGGCACAGCATCATCTTTATTGTGATTACTTGCCAATGAAGGTAGGGAAGAAATCCAGGAAGGCTTGTTTGGTACCTCATAAGTTTCTATACGCTTTTGTTTATTCATGTGGCCAATACTTACCATGTGCTACAAGAAGAGATGAGTTGGCATTGGTACCCTCTGCCCGTTTGTCTAGAAGGAGACATATAGGGGCATGATGGTGGCGCAGGGCTGTGACAGATGCTGTGAGAAGGAACATCAGGGCAAGGATTAGGGATAGGATCTAGCCAGGACTTTCTAGAGAAAACCACTGTGCTGAGTCTTGAAGGAGTATAACGTAGCCAGGAACTGGGGAGGGTCACAAGCATGTACAGGAGCGAGTGAGGGAGTGCTGAGGTGCATCTGCTTTGGGAAATTGACAGGTAGATCACAGGAGGCCACTGTGTTGAGTGTGGGGGTGGAGTGAAGTTACCAAGGGCTGTTAGGAAGGAAATGAGGGAGGAAGTTCCTCTGGGGCCCTTTGTAGATAGTAGATTAGAAACAGGGACAGGACTGGAGTGAAAGAAACCAGTTTTGAAGCTATTGCAGTCTAGGTTGCTGTAATGGGAATGGGAATGGAGGAAACTGAGCACACATTTGGGAGTTAGAATTGATAGTAAAAAGTGAGGATACGGACATGGAAAACAAAGGAAAGGAAGGGGTAGAGGAGGCGCCTCAGGCCCATGGAGCGGGTCTGAGGGTGGGAGCCATGCTCCTAGAATAGGAGCAAGGATGGATGACTGGGGAATCCTGCATCTGGGGGATGAGAGACCTAGCGGGTTCCAAGGGCTTCTCTGGCGCACAGTTGCTTTTACTATGTGCTGTCACCAGTACACATTCCCTATGTCCCCACATCCCTAGATGTCTTCACAGAGGTCTGTTTCTTGGGTTCACGTGCATCTTGACTTTGGAAAACATCTGGCAGTTCATTGACTCCGCAGACATCCTGTGCCTGCTGTAGCTCTGGCCCTGGACAGCAGTTAGCTTTTGCTTTGCTGTTTTCCAATGAAGGACCTGCTTTTGCACGTATCTGTGTGAGTTCATTAAAGTGGTCCTGTAAGCTAGATAAGTTAGTTTACGATATCCCTTTCAGGTAGACAGGCTAAAAATGGTTTCTAGTGTGAAGTCCCTGTGGTAGGAGGTGCATGGAAGGTGTGGTAGTAGAGTGAGGTAGTCTAACGGAATGTAGAGTCAGAGGCCGGCAGGGCTGGGGGGAAGGCAGGGAGAGAAGGGGTAAGAAGGGCTGCAGATTGCATAGACCCTGGAGTGCTGGGGGAAAACGCCTTTCATGTTTATTTTTCTTAGTGAAATAGGAAGTCATTAGATGGCTTAGTACAAGTGAGCAACATCTTTTAAAATCACTCTGGCTGCTGGGTGGAGAATTGACCACTAGTGTGAGAGATGAGGAAGAGGTTGGCACACTCTTAGGGTGAGCTAGTAAGGGAGGGGTACAGGCACATGCTGGGGGTTATCTGGATTTGTTCAGAGATAGAACCCGAAGCTGAAGATGGTTCACAGATTTGGGGCCTGGCCACTGGAAAGAAGAAATCACTATAAACTGAGTTGCAAAGAATGAGGCAAATGGATCAACCCTTGTATGGGGGACAGAATCAGAGTTAGGTTTTGGCTGTGTTTCGTTGAGATGGCTATTAAACATCCCTGTGGGAATGCTAAAGAAGCAGTCAGATGAACAAGTGTGGAGGCCTGGGGAGAGATCCAAACCGGAGGCATAAATTTGAGAGTTGTCAGCATATAGATAAGTTTTTAAAGCGATGGGACTGAGCCATTTGCAAGCCCAGCTTCTGCAAGGAAAAGTGTGGTCTAAGAGTGAGGTCTAGATGTACTGCCTGAAAGGGTAACGTGGCCTTGTGAAATCGAGAGTTGGAGGGTCCTGCCGAGTAAACCAGGATGTTCTAGCTGTTCATGAGCAAGCGCTGTGCGTGCAGCCGCCAGCCCTACCTACCCCTCACAGGTGAGTCCATGAGTATGTTTGAAAAATCAGTTAGAAAAATACTGTCAGGCAAGTAGCTGGAGCGTTAGACTGTTTTGTTTGTTTTTGTGTCTGTACTACAGCTTGAGCTCAGGGCCTAGGCACAGTCCTTTAGCTTTTTATCTTAAGGCTGACACTTTAGCACTTGAGCCACAGCTCCAACTTCTGCCTTTTCTGGTGGTTAATTGGAGGTAAGAGCTTCACTGACTTCCTTGTCCAGGCTGGCTTTGAACCTTAATCCTTACATCTCAGCCTCCTGGGTAGCTAGAAATACAGGTGTGAGCCACTGGCACCCAGCTATGGCTGTTGATGAGGAGGGAAGACATGAGTTTTGTAGCCTCTAGTTGCCTTGGGCTCCTGTGCAGACCTCCTACTGGCAGAGAAGATGGAGGGAGTGGTGGGCAGTGGGAATCATCTGAAGCTGATGGGTTGTGGACAATTGATGGCTGGAAAGAAGGGACCTGGGGACTCAGCAGGGGCATCAGCTGGGAGCATCTTTGAAGGGTTTTCCATGTGGCTTGTGTTTATCCTCCTCTTCTCTCTAAGATGCTTGGAGGGGAAGGAAGTTCTCTTCTTGTGTGTGGAAAACCCATGTGTGGAAAACCCAGGCCAAAGACTCTTGGATAACCTAACTAGGGACAGTCCTCTGGGTGGTGAGTGTTGAGAGAGGAAACGGTTGCTCCTGATGGTTCTCTCTTTCTCTTTCTTTTTTTCTATCTTTTTTTCTTTCTATATTTTGTCAGCTGTGGGGCTTGAATTCAGGGCCTGGGCTCTGTCCCTGAGCCTCTTCGTGCTCAAGGCTAGCGCTCTACCACTTGAGCCACAGCACCACTTCTGGTTTTTGAGCAGTTAATTAGAGATAAAGGGTGGGGAGGGGGGGGCTGGGAAGGTTGCTCAGTGGTGGCACTTAACCTAGTATGCATGAAACCCAGGGTTTGATTTCTCTGTAGCTACATAGAAAAAGCCAGAAGTGGGACTGTAGCTCAAGTGATAAAGTATTAGCCTTGAGCAAAATAAGCTCAGAAACAGCACCTAGGCCCTGAGTTCACAAGCCCCAGGACTGGCCAAAAAAAAAAGAATCTCATGGGGACTTTTCTGCCCAGGATGGCTTTGATCTGTGATCTTTAGATCTCAGCCTTCTGGGTAGCTAGGATTACAGGCATGAGCCACTGGCACCCAGATGTTCTATATCTTTCTTTGGAACTTTTAGCCTTGTTATGTATCTTACCTGGTTAATCTTAGTAACAGATAGTGAAGTGGCAGAGTAGGTATTATTATCTCCTTTTACAGATGAACAGGCTAAGGCCCAGAGGAATGGAGAGACTGCTTGCCCAGGACACCTTAGGTCTTGGCAGAGAAGAAACTAAATCTTGTGTTTCTTGTCTGTCCACCAGTCCCAACTGTAATCTGAAACAGCTCAGGGGGTCCTGAGAGCCCAGGGAGGAAAACTCTTGGGTGCTTTTTGTTTTTGGTCCATTGTGGGGCTTCAACTCTGGGCCTGCGCGCTGTCCCTGAGCTCTTCAGCTCTACCATTTGAGCCACAGCGTCACTTCCAGTTTCCTGATGATTAATTGGAGATAAGAATCTCATGGACTTTCCTGCCCTGGCTGGCTTTGAACCATGATCCTCAGATCTCAGCCTCCTGAGTAACTAGGATTACAGGCCTGAGCCACTGGGGCCCAGCTCTTGGGTGCTATTTCTGCTTCAGGTAAGGGCTTTCTACTTAGAGCTGTCCCTCCAAGGGTAGGTGTGGCCCTGGTGGTCCTGAGGAGGCAGAAGGGCTTCCTTGTTTCTGAGAAAGGGGTCTTCCAGTCATCCTAAACCTGAAGCTGTATCTGCTGACTCCCACAGGCTCAAAGCCCATTGATTGGTGTGAGTCTGGGGCATGAATAGGAAGTATTCTTCTAGCTAGTAAACACAGCCCACATGCTCTCTGCAAGCTCTCTGGCGATTACTAGCATCTATTTTTAATTCATAAGCCTCCCCCACTCCCTAGCCCTTTGCCATTGTTCAGAGCTCACCAGCTGGCTTGCGGACCCTAACGGACTCAGTGCAGGGTTGAGTTACCGAAATACCCCAGAGGCAGCTGAAGTTCCTCAGCCACCCCAGAGGCTCACCCAACCCCCACCTAAGGAAGCAGAGGCCCTGAGCCTCCTGCCAAAGCCGGGTATGGCAGGGGGAAGGTGGGGGGAGGGACTCGGCGCAGTCTCAGTTATTGCAGTCTGGCTATCAATTGTTCCTTCCAAATCCAGTTAGCTGCATTCAAGGT